ACTATGGTATGTGCCGTTAATAGCATTATTTATTGGATGTTTTTTAATATATCTTATAATGCGTAACCAAAGTTGAAATATATTGACTTTATATATAATATAAGTTTAAAGCCAGTAACATAGATCATTGAAGATATGCGTTTTTTTTGCAAACTAATTCTCTCATTATATTGTTTTTTATTCTTTTCACTATCTCTACAATCACAAATAAGAGATGAGGAATTTATTCCCATACCAAAAAGAAAAAAGCAAGCCAGCACTACTGCTAGCAAATCCGGAGAAATCATTGAGATAGAAGAAAAGGTTATGATTGATGGGAATATCCTCCACGTAAAAAGAAAAAAAATCCTTGAATTTAGAAGGGGACCTGAGCTCAAAAACGAAGTAAAAACTATTGATCATCAAAACAATGCATTAATTATAGAGAAAGTTACTGATTCCATCAGGAATAAACTCACAGAATGCTGGAATGTACCTGCTAACATCGCTTATCAAAGAAATTTCAGCATAAAGATTAACTTGTTATTATCACCCCAAGGTGAAGTAGTTATAGCAGATGTAGTAGATGAAAATTCTTATCAAAGTAATACACTTTTCAGATCGTTAACAGATAGTGCAATACGAGCGGTACATAGATGTAGCCCATTTAGTCATTTACCTAGTGAACACTATCATATTTGGCGTGAAATAACATTAGATTTTATTTTAAATGGATAATAAACTTTCCTTATGAATTAGCTCTAATAAGAATGTTCGCAAGAGTAATAACTTTTTTCTTACTATACTCAAGCACAGTTTTTTGCAGTGGCTACAACTTTTACATACCATATCATGGGCTTGATTGTCATATGAACCTGTCACATAGAAATTTAAGCAATGTAAAAAAACTATTGAACAAGGAAGATAAATTCATTGCAATTACATTTGATGATGAACCATCTTACAACAAGGTAAACACTATTATTGATATATTAAAAACACATGAGTCGAAGGCAATGTTTTTCTTGTTAGGTGAGCACATAAATAAAACAACATATGATATAGTAAGAAAAATTCATGAAGCAGGTCGTGAAATAGGTAATCATTCCTGGTCACATAAAAAGTTAAATTCATTATCTCACAATGAACAATTTCAAGAGTTACAGAGGGTGAATATGGCGATTAAAAATATAATACAAAGAGATGTAAAATGGTTCCGCCCACCATATGGATGCCATGATGAAAATGTACTTAAAAACGTTAATCTACTCAATATGTATTCAATATTATGGACAGTAGACTCTCTAGATTGGAAAAAAGATAAGCCTGAAGTTTTGGTTGAAAAGGTTATAAGTGCAGTGCACAATGGCGCTATCATATTATTTCACGATCACGATAGTAGAGCAAACACAGTAGAAGCTTTACCTTACATTATTACAATACTAAAAGAATCTGGCTATAAGCTTGTCACTTTAAGTGAATGGAAAAAAGGTCTGTAGTGCATTAACGTGCAAAAAATAAATAGATCTCTTGCGCAGCCAATTTATAATGAGAAATTTTATGCGCACAAAGAGTAAGGTCTTTACCCGCAGGGCATTTATACTTGGTAGCATCCAGTTAGCTATTTCTGCCATTTTTAGTTATAGATTATATACTTTGCAGATAAGAGATAGAAAAAAATATGAAATACTATCCAATAGTAATAGAACAAGAACTGCTACTATTATGCCTAAGCGTGGGAAAATTTTAGATAGAAATGGTATCGAACTTGCAGTAAACAAAATCTCGTATATTATCGTATTCGATGGAAAAAAAACTCTTAATAAAGAAGTAAGTGAGGAAGAAGTTACAGCGGGAGATAATGTAGTTGCATTTTATAAGCGTCATTACCCATTTGGCTCAATATGTTCACATGTATTAGGATATACAAACAAACAACAAACAGGAGTTAGTGGAATTGAATATATACACGACGATGTATTAAAAGGCACGCCTGGAAAAATCGAGCAGGAAGTAAACTCTAAAAAACGCATCATAAGAGAGTTATCAAATACACCACCACAAGATGGAAATGATGTACAATTAGCGATTGATATAAATCTGCAAAGAAGAATTGCAGAGATATTTCATGATCATAAAGGTTCAGTGACAGTTATTGATGTCAGAAATGGGGAAATTTTAGCGTTGTATAATTCACCTGCCTATGACAGTAATCTTTTTACTGGCACATTGCCAAATGATACCTGGAAGAGATTGAATTCTCCTTCATTACCACTAGTAAATCGAGCATTATCATATCAAATTCCTCTTGGGTCAATTTTTAAGATAATAGTTGCGCTTGCAGCTCTGAAAGATTGCATAATCAAACCACAGGAAAAATTCCTATGTAAGGGTCATATGCAAATAGGTAATCGAAAATTTCACTGTTGGAAAAGCGCTGGCCATGGATACGTATCTTTAAATGAAGCAATAGCTTCTTCATGCAACATTTACTTTTTTCACATAGGTAAAAAAATAAACGTAGATTCTGTGGTAGAAATGGCCAGTAAATTTGGTATTGGTAGTGGACCGCTAATGAAAAATTTTAAAGAAGAGGCCTCAGGGTTATTACCTAGTAAAAGCTGGCGTGAGCAAAGGCTATATTCACAATGGCAGTTGGGTGATACTATTAATTTGGCTATAGGTCAGGGTTATATACTTGCAACACCACTACAACTTGCAGTACTTGCAGCAAGATTTGCAACAGGCAAGAAAGTAATGCCTTATATTGAGATGAATAAAACAAAGGAGGATTTTACTAAAGTTAATATAGATTATACGCACCTTTCTATTGTTCAAAATGCTATGTTTGATGCAGTTAACTCTAGAATTGGTACTGCATATACTACCAAATCACCCAAAGACATACGAATTGCCGGAAAAACTGGCACACCGGAAATAAACTCACGGGGTAAAAGCCACAAGTTATTTATTGCTTATAGTTCTTCACATTATGCATTATCTGTATTTATAGAACATGGCAAAGCCCCGCGTCAAGACTTTCTTATAGCTTATAAGATACTTAACCATATGGCACAATCTCGCTACTAGGACCTACAAGCCATTGGATCTTTTCAGAATTTAATTTCTGATGGCAATTTTGTTATCGAAGCAGAGCTGTGCTCCTTAAATACATCCCGCGTGCTCGCTTGCACTTCTCCTCTTGCAATAAATCAAGTTTAAAAAGATCTATTAACTTGACGCGCATGGCTTATCTAAGCCTCCCCCTTTTTCCTTTTTTTAAAGTATATCTTTTAAACTTGCTGCTTTTTCAGATTCTAGATTCTTTGCATGTCTTAGAATTTCTTTTTTTGAGCTATTTTATATCCATATTTTATAGTCTTTATCTGCCATGTTTTCCTCTGTTTCTGTTCTTTCCTGCAAGGAATTGGTTATAGCTTTAATAACAGTTTTTGGAACAATGCCATATTTCTTATTATATTACCAATGTTTCTTTCTCCTTCGGTTCGTTTCATTTAACGCTCGCTCTAGTGAGCCTGTCATTTTATCTGAATATAGACTTTTCCTTCTTTGTTTCCTGCAGCACGACCGATTGTCTAACTTACGAAGTTTCTGAACGCAATAATCCTTCCTTGTCAGCATCTAAAATGGCTACTAATCCACATTCTGGAATATCAAGCCCTTCCCGCAATAGGCTTACTCCTACTAATACATTAATCTTTCCAGAACGTAGATCATATAAAGTATCAATCCTATCTGGTGTTTTAATATTTGCATGAAGGTAATGTGCTTTAATATCAATTTCACACATATAATAAGCTAAATTTTCTGCCATTTTAGTCAATGTAGTTATTAACACACAAACCCTTTTCGATTACTTTTTGTGCTTCAACGATTACATCATCTACTTGATATTCAGTAGTTTTACAATACATGTTGGATCCAACAGCCCAGTTGGACGAATAACTTGTTCTACAAAAACTCCTCCTATTTTCTCTAGTTCATATTTACCTGGTGTCTCTGAAATATAAAAATGTTTGCGGTCGCATTTTTTCATTCTTCAAAACGCAGGGTCTATTATCAAGTGATGATGGCACCCTAAACCCATACAAAATAAGATTTGATTTTCTGACTTATCTCCACTATACATTGCTCCTATTTGTGGAATGCTCAAGTGACTTTCATCAACAAATAGTATTGGCCTTTTGGCAAATATTTAAACAACGTGGGTGGTGGATTTCTAGATTGTCTACCTGATAAATAACGCGAATAATTTTCAATTCCCTTACAACTTCTTGTTTCTCTCATCATTTCTAAGTTGAAGTTTGTTCTTGCTCTAATTGTTTTGCTTTAACCATTTTATATTTGAAATACAACTATTTTAGTTGTTCTTCTAATTCTTCTTTAATTAACTCTATAGCTTGTAACAACGTTGGACGAGATGTTACATAGTGACTATTGGCAAAGATTACTATTTTAGTTTTGTAATAAGATCTCCTATTAGCAGATCTATTTCCAAAATTCTTCAACATCATTTCCAAATGATACAACTCTCCAAGCTCTGTTTTCGCAATAAGATGGAAATATGTCTATAGTATCACCACAAATGTGGAAACTTCCTCGCGTCAGTTCATTATGCAACCCCTTATACTGCAACTCCACTAGATTGTTTAAAATAATCCTGACTTTTAATTTGTTTTCCAACCTCTACACTAATAGTTATATTCATATAACCTTCCGGAGCTCCAAGGCCATAGATGCACGATACACTGGCTATAACAAACGTCTTTTCGCCCTAGAAGAGATCTTGGTTATAGAATGCCTCAGTATATCTATTCTCTTATTAATTTTAGCATCCTTTTTAATATAAGTATCAGTTTGTGGAATATAGGCCTCTCGTTGGTAATAATCATAACATAAAACAAAATATTCTACAGCGTTGTTTGGAAAAATGCTTTCATTTTTCGTAAAATTGCGCAGCCAAGGTTTTATTATGCGCAGTGAAGCGCCAGCCAACCAGTTATTGAAAATACTTGCCATTGTAAATGTTTTGCCAGAACCAGTAACTCCAAGTAAACTTGGTCTTTCCTATTTTCTTGTAATCCCTGCACTAACTTATTTATAACTTGAGGTTGATCTCCCGCTGGTTTAAAATTGGAAGTAAGGTTGAAAGACATGCAATATATTTTTTCTTAATGTTATAGTAGTTAATAAATTTTTTTAACAAAATGCTGCTAAATATTTTTTTGAAATTAGACCCTCTTAACAATACTCGCTTGCCTAGACTATGTATTCTACCATATATCCCGCTTAGTGATGAGATTTTGCTTTAGATCGC